TCGTTTGTTAGGACCGGTAATGACCGCAAGGGGAACTGCCTATGGCCATGGCCGGCCGATGGAGTCATGCTCGGTGCAGCCCCCGCAGGGGCACCGGCTTCGGCCGGTACATGCGAGTAGCACCCCTCGCGTCCCACTTCTGTAAACGGGTATGCGTTGCAAGCTGCCCATTTCAGAGCCCATTGGCCCTGCCGGCACGTGAGCTGCTGCTCTTTGCCCCGCCCGCTCCCTCCCCATCACCGGTATTCCTGCATCCGGCCCTGTCAACACTCCTCATCCTCATTTAATCGAGGTGGCCGTGCCCCCTCGCACGCGTCCCCGGTTTGATTCGACCAGGTGGCTGAGGGGCGCGTCGTGTAGGTCAATTACGGCACGTCCCAGCACTCCACTTTGGCCGGGATTTCAGAGGGGAGGGGAAGTGAGGCCCACACAAGTCTAACGGCTTGTCGCTCGCGCTGCGGCTCGGTGCTCTGTGCAGATCTCCGTTTGGGGCGCCTGGCCGCGCGCAGCGGCTTAAGGGGTCATGGGGTGACGACGCTGAACCTCGGTCACGACGTGGGGGCGCTTTCTCGGTTACACCTGGCCTTGAGGCCGTTCACCCTGTACAGCACCGGAGTAGCCCTGGCGGTTACTAGCTCCCGAGGTAGTGTTGGGCCGTGCCCCAGTTGAGCTCCCAGATGGGTTAGGGGCCCCCGCGCCAAAATCGACAACACTGCAAGGCATTTCCTACCAAAGAAATGCCCGCCCCCCCCCCCCCCTGCCCGGAAACGGGGCCGACTGCCATAAACTTGGCGTTCCGAGAGCAGTCAGTTCCACCTGCCCCACGCGCTCATATTTTCGTGGGTGATGGTAAGAAATTTCCGTTTTTCCGTGGTTTTTCCCGTTGTTATTTCTTCAGCGACTAGTTGCAATTTCTCTAAAAACTCGTCATGCTGCTAATTATGGACCGAGAACATCAAAAATCACGTTTAATTGCAATAGCATGTGACTTTCAAGGTCAAAAGCATAGCCAAAGGTCAGAGAACCCCACATCAGCAAAAAGTGCTGTCCCATTCTAGCTTTGCAAGCATCAGAATAAACACCAGCGCAAGAACTAGCGTTCGTCAATAAGTCCTGACCTTTCAAAGCCACCCTGCAAGGTTAACTTCAGGCTCAAAAGACGGGGAACTCCATACTACAAAAAATTGCTGGCCGTTTTCAGCTTGCAATCGCCAGAATATTCACCACAGAAAGAACTAGCGTCCGTCAAAAAATCTGACTTCTCGAGGATACCCTTCAAGGTGAAACTAAGGCTGAAATGATGGATAATTCAGGTGGTTTATGCAGCAATTTATTCAACGGCGAGTTCTGATCTCTCGGAAAATACGTCATGTGATCAATTTTGGCGTGAGAACATCGAAGATTACAATTATTTTGCGATGTCACGTGCCTTTGACACCACATGGCGTCATGGTATTCTTCTAAAACTTTTTGGATGTGGCATAGTGGCCATATGGGCACTTTTCTCCGCAAGCGTTTAGCTAACCGATATTTCCATGCCCGCGTCGGCACCGTCCTCTCTGATTGGCACCAAAAAGTAAACGGTGTGCTCCAGGGCGGCGTGCTAAGCGTGGCACTGTTCGCAGTAATGATTATGATTAACGGTATTTGTGATGTGTCTCCCAGCCTGTCGGATGCGCTCTATTTGTTGAAGATTTTACTGTTTGGACCAATGCATCGAGAATACCATCCATGGAACAACGTCTCCAGCTGGCTGTGGACCGTGCGGATAGGTGGGGCATTGTGAACGGATTTCGTTATTCAGGGGAAAAGACCGTTGCAATGCATTCCTGACGTCGTCGATGATCCGGTGACCTGAGCACAGAGCATTTGTCTATATAATTGCTGTATTCCAACTGAAGCTGCAGCCAAGTACCTTAGGAAATACTCTGAACACCGGCTTACATATAATGCACGTCTCAGTATGTTATGCGATCGCTGTTTTAAATTTTCTGGTAAACTTAAGTCTGTGTCCCCAACAATATATAAGGCAGACAGAAGCACCGTAATGTTTTATATCGTTCAATCGTCCGCTTTAAGCTCGATTATGCATGCTTTGAGTATGATGGCGCTTCTAAATTCAGCAAGCCCTGTCTTGATACCGTTCATCATATCGCCCTTGGCATTGTTACTGGGCCGCTCCGCACATCATCCGCTGTCAGCCTTATGGCAAAGCCACACGAACCACCGCTGTCGGCGCGGAGGAAAATGCTCGGCATGCGTTACGTCACTAAACTGTGGCAGTTCCTGTTACATCCGACATATCACGCAGTATTTGCACGGTATGCGGTTAGCTTCCTTCACGGCGGACCGCAACAGCACTCTCTAACTTTCGGTTTTCGAATGAAAGCGCTATTGCAGTAGAGCGAAAATCCTCTGCGAGGTGTGAAGCAAATAAGCCATCTGACGTCTTCTCAGTGACCATACCCTTACGAGACACCTCGCTAACAGCAATTAGGAAATCAAATTAATTTCCAAAATCAAGGAAATTAGGAAAAAAGACATCACTCGAAACATTATGAGATCCAAGGCCCTTGAGCCTATGGAGAGCGCAGTAGAGTTATTGCGGGGTGCCGTTAGTGTAGTGGTTAACGCGTCTGCGTTAATCACTACACTAACGGTCTGCATGTAACGCGTCTACATTAACCACTGCGCGTATGGGAAACCAGATATAAGGGGTCCGATTCCCCGCAGTGCCTGCCCTTCCTGCCAGGGTGAGAGGCAGGTGACGCCATGTAGCCTCAGCAGCTGAGTGCGTCGTAAAGCTCCAGTGACACACACACACACCAATGACACGGAGAGTTATTGCAAGATAGTGATATTCCTCCTCGAGGTGTGAAGCAAGTAAGCCCTCTGACTTCTCCTCAGTGTCCATACCCTTATGAAACACCTCGCTTACAGAAATCAGGAAAAAGCCACCACTGGAAACATTATGAGATCCAAGGCCCTTGAGCTTATGGAGTCATATGAAACATGTAATCGGGCGTATACAGTCGGGTTCAAAACCTCGGATTTTTTATTCATTTTTTAAATACATTTATTCCGAATGGTTTGCACGGGGGAATTCGGGCTCAGAGTGCCTGCTAAGCATAGCTGTTGCGTACACTCCGAACCCATCACCCAAGTCGTGCCGTCCAGTTCAGCGGATAATTTTGCCTCCGCGCTTTTGCCAGACAGGAATGCGAAGGTTTTTACGTCATGCACAATGCTGCGGCACGGCCGCCCCGTGCCTGGGTCGACCCCCGCTGGCCACTTGCCCAACTGACCTTTCCATGTCATCGGATCAAACAATGCGCCCACTCTTGGACTCGTACCCAGTGCCGCTGGATTGCGATTCCAGCATCTTTCCCCTAGACCACGGAGGCGGCGGATGGGTTTTGCTTTTGGATGGCATAGGTTGTGCATTTGTCAGCGGTTCCGTCACTCGACTGCTTTCGTGACCGGCTCACTGATCGGAGTCAGTTTTCATAGCGGAATCGGTTGTGATTACCAGGGCAGTATGCTCATAGAAGTTGGTAACAAACCTTTACACTCCATTTTTACGAATCCTCAGAGCAGTATCTCTACACTTGGATCTTGTTATCCATCATGTCCCCTTTTTCGGGATATTTGTTCACGTCTGACACAAATGAGTCGGGTTGGAGAGAGAGTTGCCCTGTGCTGGACCCCAATTGCGTCGGAATCGTGGGCAAGAAGTTGGTTGACGTCGCTGCTAAACGAGCAGCGGTGGCACCATGCACCCGGTCTTTGCCGATCCTTGCCAGAGACTTTTACTCAACAGTCACGAATTTTGTCGAAAGCAAATAACAGCGTTGCTGGGATCGGATCGGAGGCAATAAACTCAGAGCGATAAAACCCCAGCTGGGCTTGTGGTCATATTGCTCTCGCGACATGCGCTGAGAAGAAGTAGCTCTATGCAGGTGACGTATCGGACATACGTGTGCCACCCATGGTTATCTGTTGCGTTGAGCCGACAGGTCCCTCTGTCATCGATGTGGTGCCGTTTTCACTGGTCATCATGTGATCCTATCGTGTCTTCGCCTCGTCGAAGAACGACGTCATTTTGGGACCGCAGGCTTCGTCCCTGACGATCAGCGATGTGCTTGCTGACAACTCCTTTTTTCCTGGGTCTTAAACATTTTTCCTCGTTCTTAAAACCCATGTACTTCCAGCTCATTTTCACACCACACTAGTTAAGTCAAAACATCGCTATTGGCGCAAAATGAACACTGTAGTCGACGCGCCCTACAACATGAATAAACAACAACCAATATGCAGCATAACAACGGTAAGGAAGCGGAGGATCCTCGCCAGGCTATTCCATTTTTTTGTATCAGCTTTTGTGCTGTGAGTACAAGAAGCTTCCACTCAACACGCTCACTTCGAAAAGCGAAAGTAAGGGAGTAATGTGTTTATTCAGCATGCATGCGATGAAATGCCATCGCGCGGACGGCACCATATCACAAAGACGACTTACAGCCTGCCGTTTCGTTTGATAAACAGTTACTGCGCACCGTCCGCGGCGTGAGGGGCGAATATAACTCCTCACACGGAGGGAAGCATGGCTGGCTCAGATGGCATGCGAAGATCGGGTTATAGTTCTTCGTCCAAATTATCACTACAGACAGCATTGCCATGATTCCTTATTCAGGCAGCCATGTACCAGACCCGCTGGGCCCGTGCGCTGCGTGACACACTTCAAGCACCCGCCCTGCCAACGATTTCCGGCCGTAGACGCGGAACCTGGTTCCCGTCCTCCCAGGTAACAGCAGTCAGCCCACAGGGCTCCACGCGTCACCACCGCCGGTCCTCCGTCCCGGTTGACCACTCCGTCAGTGGCTCACACGCTCACCGGAGACCGCCCAGCCCGCCCCAGGTGACCGCCCCGTCCAGGCGGCCCAGTCCCAGCCCGCCGCCCGCCGCCCGCCGCCCGCCGCCCGCCGGAGCCGCCGGGCCTCGGGCGCGTCAGCCCTGCGCGGTGGCGTAGCCGACGACGCCGCAGCCGGTGCGGCCGGCGCCGTCCGACACCACCACCAGCCGGCCCAGCACACTGCGCGTACCCGTCAGCGAGACGCTGCGGTCCGACAGACGGAAGTGGTGCTGGCTGACCTGCGTCTTGCCGAGGTCACCGAGCGGCCGCGTTGGGTCTTCGTACCGGCCGTGGCTGCGCTGTTGGCGCAGGGAAAGCGATCTTCAGACCGTGCTCCAAGCTCAAACACAGTTTGCGTAGATTGAGACCAAGGCCTGCGACTTGATTAACTATGACTCTATGAGTGGCTATACGATGCATCAATGTCAAGCCACACAAGCAATATTTTCTGGATGTAGTCAGCTCCGCTCGACGTTATAGCCGTACCAGCAGCCGCAGAGAGCAGCAGCACTACGATCAGCAAATAATTACCGGCATGCCTTTTATGTCAGGAGAAGCATATCAGGACGGCAAATCCGGGCAGACTTTGTGTCACGATTTCAGCAGATATTGCCCCCCCCCCCCCCCGCCCCTCCCCGCCGACTGGGTACGGAGCGCCTCAGATGGCGGCCGCGGCTGCTGCGAGGCCGCGGTGTCGCCGGCGCCAGCTCACCCCGTACGGGTTGAAGAGCTGCAGGGAGTCGGAGCTGCAGCTGGAGCTCAGGTCGCCGAACCGGGCGACCTGCACGTGCAGGCTGGCCTCCACGTCTAAAGCAGATACCGGGTCAGGTACTAGGCGGCGCCACTGCAGCGAGCCGAGAGGACGAATCGCCGGCCGGCTCCGTGTGTGGCGCCACCTGCCAGTGCGGCTCCGGGGACATTACTTGCACGACGCTCTGATCACTCGATAATGAGCCATGGGCTCTGAAGCAATCGGCGTGAGTCGTCCGGCGTGAGCTCGGTCAATAACGAGGAAATGGCGGCCATGACCAATCAAAAGGGTCTACAATATACCGCCGCGGTTCAGGTCTTCAAGCTAAGGAAGCCGAAAGATCGTCATTATTTACGGGTCCAACGATTCAACATATTGACTGAAAACAGATTATCTTAGCGAGAGTCTTGTTTTGTACTCCATGTGTCGGGCTGCTGCCGGGTTGGTCTCTGTTCTCAGGTCAGGGCGCGGTCCGAACACCTGTCCGACCGGTCTGTCAGCTGTCTGTCGTGGGTCCAGTCTGGCTGCGTCCCTACCCTGCACGAATCCGTCGATCTCGACCGGCCCCAGCGGGGGCTTCTGCTGGGTCAGGTACAGGGTGCCGGCTATGTCCCCGCTCAGCACCGCCACGCTCTTCAGCGACTTGGCCGCCTGTCAAACGAGAAAAATGAGGGAGGCAAATGCGCGTGCCACGACTCAACGCGTTATAGCAGCTAGTGAACCGCCGCCAGCCGCGTTTGTCAAGCGGTCAAACGGTTGGACGTAAGCAAATTGTGGTTCTGAAAGCACACGAAGGAGTGAGTAAATGAGGACACATGAGAATACAAGGCCGCCGGTCGACGCGCGGCCGTACCATTTTGGTTGGGTAGAGCAGCAGTTCGTACAGCTTGTTCTTGTTGGGCATGGTGTGGACGCGCGTGCTGCCCACCGCCTCGTTGATGTACAGCATGCTGGGGGAGGCCGGGTGGTTGACGTACACCCGGCTTCCGTTGACGTCATCGGCCGTCCACGCCCGACTCGCCAGCAGCACCAGTGACGTCAGAACGCATCTGTGGACGTTCAGGCGCCGTCGTGAGGCCCTCGGGTCTATAGGTGTGCGCAGTGAAAGACCTGTGCCGTCTTTCGAAGAATGAACGTCCAACGCAAACGATGGCGTGGTCACACACACGGCACGTGATATAGAAGGCCACCCTGTCGACCTCCTATAGCACTCACACAACTACGTCAGGACCAACCTGATTCATATTTCGACAGCTATGTCGAGAAAATTTCCAAAAAAAGTCCCGTGCCCACCCACTTGCCGCCATATTTGCCTTCAAAGGATGACCGCTGGTGCACGACACTTTGGTCCATAAGCCCACGATATCTCGTTCATGTCAGTTCATAACCATGAGATGGATTGATGGTTAGTGCTGGTTCACAACATAGCAGGCGCAACAACTTTTCTGTCGATGTTATTACGTTTAAACCACCTGGATTCCAGTTGGTCTGGGGACGCCCACCTATTTTCCCACGCAAAAGTTAGTGCAACTTCAGGCATCGCGTCTTCTTCAAGGAAATGTATCCGGCTTCACACAAGCGTGAAACGTGTCTTCACACAAGCGTGGCATGGCCCGCCGTAAGTAAGTGCGACGAAAGAGGAGCAGCCCGCAGATCGTGATTGCCAATCCACACAGTCCTCACCAACGATTGCGTCAGTGAGTGAGCATAATGTTCAAGTGCAAACATCTGCATACTCTAGCGGTCAAAGCACTCATTTACGAGCTGATTTGTATTCATGTCGCCCCGCTGTTGTGGTGGCGCCAGCTATAAATGCGCATCTTTCGGCTTTCGGTACCGACAGTTGAAGGTCATAAGTGTGAGGCTAGGACGGGCCATTACCCCACGGCTGATGCTGTGTATTACTGGCGCCGTGCACACTTAGTGTGGCCTAGGGTACCGCGCCCACGAACTGAAACCGGTAGACAAACTTACGCCGCGTTTAGCAACTGCATTTGTAATTAGCTTCATGCAATGGATGGGAAGGACAGAAAAAGTTTTCCGTTCAAACAGGTGGATAGTTACGTAGGCTCTCCTGATGCATGCGCTGTGTTATTATCTGCCGGAAGGTTTCTCATTGTGCCGTAATGCGTCAGCAAGCCTCGGCCTTATTAGGGGCTCTGTGGGAAGCGCGCGAGCGGCAGACGTAACCCCATCATGGCAGAGCTTACGTCCCATAGCGTCTTGGATGGGGAAAAAGTTGCAAAACGCTAAAAATATGTTTTGGCATTTGATGAAGTAGAACACGGTACTTTTAAAATCAGAATATATACTCGTCTTGAACGACAAGCAATTGAAACATATTTGTTGCAGACTTGGTCGCATCATGAGATTTCCATGCTGACGTTACGGGGGGGGGGGGGGGGGTGGGGGGTAACCAGAGCGTGGCGTGGGGGATGGGACACCGTAGCGGTATGCTCAGATGTGGTTGTAGATCATGCTACAGGGATTTTTTTTACCTTAGAGCCGGATACCGTTGGCTTCCTCTCACGACAAACAAATTTGCCCGTCTTTGTTTCGCACCTCAACCTCAATTAGAGACAGACGTGGAGCGTTGCACGCTCAACACAGACGTGCGGCCGTTACACGCTTAACGCGAACAGAAGTGGAGCGTTACACGCTTAACACTAAACAGACGTGGAGCGTTGCACGCTTAACACAGACAGACGTGGAGCGTTACACGCGTAACGCAGACAGGCGTGGAGCGTTACGTACTTAACACAGACAGACGCGGAGCGTTACACGCTTAGCACAGACAGACGTGAAGCGTTACACGCTTAACGCGGGCAGACGTGGAGCGTTGCACACTTAACACATGGCGTAACCAGGAAAAGGAGGGGTCACCCAATGTAAATAATGCGTAACCAAGAGACAGGGCTTGTGAAATGGTCAACAATGCGTGACATAATTTGTGGACCTTGGTGGCATAAAGTGATGTGATATTTCCGAACGAATGGCAGCAATAGTATTTTTGGAAACGCGAATAGCGTGCGATCTCTAAAAGCATGATGCTTTCCATACCGCACTATTTCAACCACGTCGCACTAAAGCGCGAGATGGAATGAGCGAGGTGCCAACAGGTGTGTGAGTTTTCGGCTATCATCATGCAGATGATGGCGCCATCAAGGCTAATAACACTCTTGGGAACTCACACCAATGGGTTCGCTGAATGCATTAGAAAGTCCGTCTTTCGTGAGACTTAAACAAAGACATTCGCTGCAGCAATGTCTGCATTTCAGGCCATTAATTCGAGTGCTCTGACGTGTTATGTTTTGGCGAGTGACTTTATGCGGCAAAAGCTGTTAGATTGTGTTTCTTGGTACCAGAAACTACACGAAGCTGCGAGGAATGGTCACAATGCTACGTGGTTTTTGGTGGCATGACGACCTTGCTGAGCCGGGCCGATCGAGACGAAATTTTGTTACCGTTAAGATCAGATCAGTCCGGCCCGCGGCCTCCCGATCACTCTCCCATCACGGGCAGGCGCAGCTCACAACCGCGGTGACCAGATCAGTCTGCATCCTTTTGTGCACCATGGACAGGCCCAACTTGTGTGGCTGGTCATCCTTCGATCGGGTCGCCCGGTCCTGCCTTCCATAGACCGCATTACACCCAGATGGTCGATGCTAGAAAACTCGGACCCAGCTGCTGAAGAGGTCGTCCGCACCAGGCGCACGGCGTCCGTGCCAACAGGCGGTATGTTTCACAGCTCCGGTCACGACAAGGCCCACACTTGGCTGACAAACAGTATCCCAGAACCTTTAGTGATTAGTGTGACGAAGGCGGCGCGCTGACGGCCGTCTAAGAGCTTCAATTAGTGGCGGCGTGCCTTTTCGCGGCGGGGTCAGGTTCAAGGCCGGCCGGACGGACAAGGTCACGGTCGGCGCTGTTTGGTGTCGCGGCATCCCGGAACTGGGAGTGGAGGCGGGAAAAGCGCCGCTCCGCCCGCCGCCGCCGCGGAGCGGTCGGCCTCGGGGGTCAGCAGGGCTGAGTCACGCGGCGACCCGAGCGTGCGCAGCTCACGTAGGTCACGGCGGCACGCCCCGGCGGCCGATTGCAGGGGCGCACGCGAGGTCGAGCTGTTTTTACGGAGTGTTTGTTGGAAGTTCAAATCAATATTTTCCGGTTGAGTGGAGCGATGCGCAGGTGGATGTTCATCCAGCGAATCAGATGCAGTACGTGCGGGAGCCGTGGGGCGGTGAGGAACGGTTTAAAGCGTTAGCTAAATCGAATGTCTTGTTTTATTGAGTCTAGAACGAGGAAAACATTCCAGTTTAGGCCAGCAGCGTTTCGGTGCAGCCACTCCTGAACAGCTGCAATGTTTCCACTCCTGCGCGTTGCCTTTGGTCGCAACGCTGTGGATTGCGATCCGCGGTAACGGAACATCGCTGCCGCGCACCTATTCGCCTCTCGCAGGGCCCGCGCTACTGTTAAAGCTTGGTGAAGCGAGCGCAGCGATACCAAAAGGAAAACCCAGCGAGATGAAGACATCAAAATGGGCAAGAAAAATATGCCGCAAAATTCTGTGCATTAACAGACATTATGTTTTGGTCAGCCCGCACCGTTTGAAATCGGCGTCCACTTTAATACTAGCGACTGAGGCAGGGACTGCTCCTTCGTGGAAGGTGGTGAAGATTGACACTGGAGCAATGCTGGGGGGGGGGGACGAAAAGGGGCGGGGCGGAAACAAGTCGTCCAGTTGCTCAGCCCGAGTGGCGGGCACCCGTACTTGCGTTTGGAACGCCAGCCTCCACCATGCGTATGGGCGTAACCAAAATTGGGGCTGGGGTCGGTGGCGTCCGCACCCTAGTAACTTTTGGGTACATTGGATAGTGCCTGTGCTTTGACCAAATAAAATGGTGTTAAAACATAAGTAAGCCTAGCAAAATTTAAGACACGGCCACGCCATGACCATGCATGAAATATAAGCGGGCGCAAGAGGCCGGCCACTGGCTGCGCCTGGATGTGGATGCATTTTGGTGAAGATGCATGCGGTACATCTTAACGAGGAAGACTTACATGTGTTTTGAGATTGTGCATGCATGTTCGCGTGAGTTCACATTTCAGGAATGCGCACTTTGAGTAGATAGTGCCAGGTAGAGGTGGAGTGCCAACGGAGCGCACGGACAGCTTCATATTAGCCCCTTTGAAAACATGATGGCTGACTGGTCCATATGTCAAACGTGTTTCAGAACATGCTCGATTCAATGGAACTTGCATGCATAGCTATGCATTACAATCTTTGCTTCCATTTTTTTTACTGCTTTCCCACTTCGTCTCAACGGTATCAATATTCAAAATCACGCCTCAGCTTCTATTCACTTATGCACTCGACGTACTGCTCCTTGCTGGACAGCATCTGTACTTCCGACCCCTTATGTGATTAACATACGTTCTAAACATCGGCTGACAGTCTGACTGCGGCTTGCTCAAACGCACGCATGGACCAACGTTCACCCTGAATCGGAACAACAGCTGTCCATGCCACTGCATGCGGCATAGATGGGACAAGTTTCGGTGGTCAGACTGTCTGTTCGTTCTCGTCGATAGTCTGGGAATGGTAACGATTTAGTTATGCGTTATGGAAAAGATTTAGTCAAAAGTTGCCTATGAGTATCTTGCCCGGAATGAGCAGCCTCATTCCAAAAGTTATCGTTTTGGGTCCGTCATACGCAAAGGCACGGAACAAGACCTGTTTTGTATGTTTTCTTCAGATGACCTTACTGTATCCAGGGACTGTATCCTGTATCCTGTATCCAGGGACTGACTGTATCCAGTCACGTGGGTCGAGTCGGTCCGGACTTTTACTCAGCCCTAGACTCGTGACTTTTTAGAAATTGAATCTAAGTGAATCGCTCCATTTTGCGGATGCGTCAATCTCGGACCGACTAGGATGGGTTCATTTCGCGGACGCGTCAATCGCGGAGCGACTAGGATGGGTTCATTTCGCGGATGCGTCGGTCTTGAACTCGGGCTTGCCAATTTGAAAGCAAACGTCAATGAATGTGGACTCAGAATCAAACAAGGATTCAATTCAAGGATTCAAGACACAAGGATTCGAACTCCAATTCGGACGAGGCACGGACCAAATGTAAAGAACTGTGATGCTCGGATCGGGCTTAGCTACTAACCATAGTTGAAACTCAAGGACTGCAGTGCGCAGTGTTTAGCAGCAATGGCATGCTGTGAACGAAATATCGTTGTTTGGCATAAAGCATATATATATATATATATATATATATATATATATATATATATATATATATGTTCGTATTCCCGCACCTATTGAACTACATTGGGCTGAGTGACTTAGTCAGTTGTTTTAATGGATTCATTTGGGTTCGGTAGGGCTTCGTTAGACCGAATTAGTTCCGGCTAGTTTGCGTAAGATGAATAGCACTGGTTACAAAGACTTCGTGAAGCCATTGCCTACAGCAGCCCACAGCCAACCTCATGCCTACAACACGTTTGCTTTTTTAATGCTGACTGGGCAAAACGTCAAGTGAGGATGTGGTACGGTCGGGGTGACAGCAGGGTTGCGCCACGTGTACGTTTGCACCGGAGCAATCTGCATTTTTGACTCAGTCTACCCCAGTCTACCCGACAAGGGATGACAGGTATCTTGCACGATTCCGCCCCGTCACACAAGAAGCTGATGGACTGAATACTTCAGGACGCAGGTGCACGGACCAAGAGTCGAGCTTGATCTCCAGGCAGTCGGGCTCGTTCCGGATGCATGATCCGTGGAAATGATCAAACTCTGACTCTGACAAATGCAATGGGACAAGAATGGACTCGGCATCAAACTCGAGACAGGAGTACTAGGCCTCAAACTCAAAATAGAACTGCTCGGCTTCAAACTCAAGACAGAACTGCTCTAAGACCAGTGCCTTACCCTCACGGCATCACCGGAACGGCCACCTTTTTCAGAAAAGCTGCTAATGCAACTGCCGTTCTTTGAAAGTACCGCTATCCCGATGTTAAGCACAAAGCTGGCTAAATAATGTATTAGAACGTGAGTCAATGGCGCATTACAAAGAGAAGACAGAGTAAGAATCAGTGGAAAACGCCGCATTTTTTACGCACTCAACTCAAAGAGGATTGTTTAGCGGGCCCAGTCCCTAAGTTCGGTATCGTATGCCAGAAAATTGCTAAGTTAGTCGACATTTCGCAGCGAATTAGCTCTATCACTGATAACCAGCGCATTTCACAGAAGTTGTACGAGAAGCTGCACAACGCTAGTTTCGAGATGACAAACGTAAAGTTCAACTATTCAGCTATATGGCACCATGAAGTTGATATTTTGGTAACGGCAGCCAGTTTTCCTTATCAATTCGTACATCATCCCTGCACCTTCTGCTGATATGCCGAACACACTGCGCCGCCCCATGGAGACCGATCACGGCAGACGAAGCTCAAACAGCAGCGACGGCCCGGGCGCCGACTTCAAGCCGGCACATTGACACACCCTGCCTGACAAACGGCCACCGGGAGGATGGGTCGGAGTCATCGACCCCTCGGGGATGAGCCGATATGCCGAACACATTGCGCCGTCCTACGGAGACCGGTCACGGCAGACGGGACAGAGAAGGAGCCCGTGCAGCAGCGACGGCCCGGGCGCCGACCAAGCCGGCACATTGACTCACCCTGCCTGGCAAACTGACACCGGGAGGATGGACCGGAATGTTCCCACGGTCATCGACGCATGAGCGGCCTACCCAGCCTCACTGCCCGCAGCCTCGCTCCCGTCATTTGGCAATAAGTGCCGAACGTGAGGCGCAAAACTGCGCAGTGATCAACGTGAAATTGCGTCATTTGACTGAACGCGAAAAAGTGTCATCGATACTTGGACCATCGGCGGCTGCATCGCTCGACAATGGACGCCCATGACACTGTAGAAATAGCCAATGCAACCGCCTTGTTCCGAACGACTTGTGGACAACGGTGTACCGATAATTTGTAATTTCAGACACATGATGAATCGACGATGCGAATTACCATGGGTTCCCTTTATCGCTAAAGGAGCCAGACGGTCTGAGTAGAGGGACACGGGAATTAATGCATCCTATACTAGCGGCGTAACCCGATCAGCAAATGTTCTCACTCACTTCCGGGATATTTTTGGGACAGGCGAAGTTAGTGTGTGGGGGGGGGGGGGGGGCGGAAGCTAAAGATCGCACGCTGTGATGAAAGGGACTTGGCTGGGGCATTCTGTGAATTTCCAAAGTGGCTGTTCTTCTGGTACTTGTTTCTGGAGAAGTCATAAAAAGGCTTTACAACTCAATGAGAGCGTGGCTGCGGTATGGGATAGCGTTAACATTTTTGTACTGGTCACGTTTGAGGAGATTGAGCATTCATTAATCATGCTGTCCTCGGCTAAGTGCGTAAAAGTTGTGCTGCACGGTTCTCATTCAGTGGATTAGTTCCCTTGCCAGCATTTTTCTATAATTCCGCATCAATATTCAGTGAAGCTCTGGTTTTAATCATCCAAATAACAGCCCAGCATCAAACAATGGTGCTTTCATGGCAGCGTTTTAGCCAGCAGTGTTATGGTCGAAAACTAGGCAGAAAACTGGCGTTGCTTCGGGTGACCGGTATTGGGGCTGTAACTGGATGCATCCGAATTCTGTGCTCGTGCTGAGGATGGTAACATTATACATGTTGTGTTAGGCCTCATTTTTTCCGGTGGACAAGCATAAGGCCGGCTGCAGTCATAATCAAAGGGCAAAGGCACACGATTTAGAAGAGGACGGGTGAAAACGGTAAGCAGTGACACCGCGACAGCATTTAAACAATTCGTGGCATTTGACTAAATATGGGTAGTATGACCATATGAGTGGTACTACCAAGGCTATCTAACGAGTACTACTGAGAACCGCGCGCATATAGGGAGAGCGGCGCAGTGCGGGCTGCACGCGCGGGGACAGAGCAGACACGCCAAGACAACTGGGCACTGCCCGCGCGTGGGGAGAGCAGGACCACTGGTGACTACACGTGTGCGGGGAGACCAGGACAACTGGGGATGGCAAGCGCGTAGGGAGAGAACAACCAAGGACCACAGGCGCGTGGACTGTGTGGTACAACCGGGAGCCGAATTCGGGAGGACTGTACGGACGGCGTCCCACCACTCACCTGGACCTGATGCCGGTCGGAAACACCATCGTGCCGGGAGCAGTGGAAGCGCGCGACTGGATGGTCGCCCCGGCGCCGGCCGGTGCCGCACGGCCGACCGCCCCCCCCCCCCCCCCCCCCCCAGCAGGCAAGGGGGACTGATGTCACGCATGCGCACCAGGTACACACCGCATACTTGGTGAGCGGGCTAGCTGGTTGAAAAGCTCAGCAGGGGGGGGTCGAGGGTCAAGGGCTCTCGAAACCTTCTCAATATAGCTATCCGTCTGCCTGCGAGATGACCCCACGGGAGTTGTCTACTTGAAGTGGAGATGCATCCGTGGCCTATACAGCAGCGGCCTGGCCATGCGATTCATGGGAGCAAGCACGGGGCCAGCCGCCATAAGCCAAGTCCTCGGAATCCCTGTCGCCGCTTTACCAATACTGACACAGGCTTTCGCATATATCTGCCTATTTGTTGGGCAGCGGGTGAACGTTGCGAGCCGCGCTTCATTTTGGAAGCTTAAATTACTCAAATTGCTTGCCACTGATTCCACTGTGCTCCTGGAAATATATTTTTTAGTGAGGCACTGCGATCTTCTCCATGACCAGCAGCGCTGGATCGCATCACTCGAGACCTGCTCTCCCCCAACCCAGTCACCTTTCAAAAATATGTCGCCACAATGCGACTTATGATGCACTACAATCAACGCTTCAGTGCACTTGACCGAGGGAAGAATCAGATTCACTGCAAGTCAAGAGCATTGTTCACTTTGTAAACAAGATACGGAAGAAAGGTAAGGACACAGACCCGGTAATTTTGGGAGACTATTGACCGGCTTGAAGAAGCGTGAGATTTCGCGTTCTGTTGCAATGCTGACCAACGGAATTCACCGTATCTCTGGCGGCTTACCCGACTGGCTGGATTTAAGAAAGGCTTTCCTGAACCACAAGCGATTGTTGCTTGATTTATTTTAGTGTAATGATGGCATGACCACACCATGACTCGAGGCCAAAGCCTGTGCCCACACAGCTCGTTCATGAACTCGCTGAGAGGTTTACAGCTAACGCCCAAGACACACTACCTTGGGAATAAAGGTAAACGTTGACCAGGAATGTGCAAAATACGATTGCTGACTCTGACCCCGACTGAACACGTGACATGGAACAGCATGAAACCAAACACGCACAATGTCGGAATGTTGACAGCGCCGACAAGAATTTCGTTCAAAGCAGAAAGACAGCGGAAAACACTTGAGACAACACGGTGCCTTCAAAAACAGTCCGACGTGCTCAAAGCAGGCGCAAACTCGGAATGACACCGGCGAGCTGACGCGGGCACATGCCATCCATCCCAGCGAACAGCGCACGCCGCACAAGGCTCATCCCGCCCGACCACAGTCGGCCCGAACACCACTGCCATCCCCGCGGAGTGACTGCCAGCCCAGCTCAGCGAGGCGGGCCGGCGGCCAATGCCCGCCCCCGGCGTCGACAGGAGCGGCGGCGGGCGGACTCGACGTCCGACCGTGGCCGCGGCGAGCACCGAGCACCTGTGTCGAAAGCCACAGCACGCGTGCGCGCCGGCTCGTCGGCGTCCGACGGCCGGCGCCGTAAGGGGCCGTGCCTGCCGCTCCCACTAGCTGTCGGCGGCAGCGGCAACGGCGGGCTCGGCAGCGCCGCCACCGCCCTCCCGCACCGACAGCGCCGCCAGCTGGTCGGCCACCTCGCCGGACGCCTCCCGCGGCGGCGGCTTCGACTCCGACTCCGGCTGTTCGGCGGCTGGCTGGTTCCCCTCCTGCATGATTTTCTGCGCCTCCGTGAACACCTCCTTGAATTTCTTGGCGTCTGCCGACGGCGCATTGCACAGTGAGTGGTGTGCCAGTGCTCGGGCTTCGCCATTCAGGCGCTCCGTACAACCGAAAAGTTTCGATAGTCATCCACCCCTTTGCCACCGAGGTTATGTTCAGTTCGTTCGTGGGGACAGGTAAGCATTGAAACAAACTTTTGGTGCTGCATCATCTTGATCCTTTCAGAGCCTGATACCCGGTCGTCCAGAGGAAGGCAGTGTATCTTCGCCGATTTCTAAATTGTTAAATGGGCTTTACCGCGGACTGGTAACATTGTGAGAACAGTTCGGCAAACACGGATGTACTGGCCGGAACTAGATCCAAGCGGCTGAAAATTTCTGCCGTCCAAAATTTCTGCCGTCCAATGTCAAAAACGCGTAGCCAACATTTTTCCCGAAAGCAAATTATTGTTATCATCAGAACCGTCCCGAAGAGCCGCACATTTTGACCAACTAATAGGTGTGTGTTCATGATCAAAATGGATTGATTACAGGGATATGAGCTTAATGGGTTCACATACCATTAGTACTTGTAACGTTTTCCACAGACGGAAACGAATAACTGACACGTATCGGTGAAAAACGAGCCTCAAATGTCCGCAAGCTCTGGCATTACCGTGTCAAAGTGTGTGTCAGTGAAGTCACGCGTTTTTGTCAGACGGAGCGTTAAAAATTGAGCAGATATGCGTTTTTATCATGGCAAGACGCCCGTTTACCCAATTCGTTTGCAAATCCGTGTAAAAACGCACAATGCAGGCAGGCACTCTACCCAACTGAACTATCCGTACGGACAAATGTCCCAAGCAGACATGTTCGTCGCCAGCGAACATTCGCCCAATCACTGAAACCTTCACTAAGCTATTGACCATGCTAAATTGAGACTGGAATAGCAATAAAGTGGCTCATCTAGGATGAAACGCCTTAAAGATGCAAAGGCGATTTAACGTGCAAAAGCAGACAACTGAGATTCCAGAACCCGCTGCTGTGATTGACTCCAACCTTTCGCCATTCGACACGCCGCATCTAAACGAGCTAAATAAAGTGACCCTAGGTCAGATCACAGGAAGTCGATTTTCACGGATCCATTGTATTACTTTCATACAGCGCGGTCTTCGGACCCCATTACTTCCATCGGCGAGAAACCTTCCTCATTTGATGCGCCATGTTTGGTCCCCTCTCGCGGTTACGGACACCGTGACCAGGTCAGGTAAAATGCTGTCATTTTGACAATTTATAAATTGCTCAACTTTGTTTTAAAAACCTATTGCTCTAATCGAGGCGTAGCCTTCACCATTTGATGCGCCATGGCTGAGTCCCTGGAACTGGAGAATAATAATGGCATGCCAGGTCAAAAGCCGTACGTTTTCACCTGACTTCGGAATGAGCTGACGTGCAGGTTGCAACAAGCTACGCCACCAACGTGTATTAAATACGGAAGCCAGGTGTTTACGAATTGCTTTGGGTGCTGACCTCATTTATTTTCGGGTTTGGTTGTTTTATGATTTGCGATTGATTTTAATGAGCACGTGGATCCCGTCGTTTTTGTTTGCCGCAAAAGGGTGCATCTATGTCCCAATGTGTATCACATTTTGATCCTGAATTCAGCCGCTGGTTTTGTGTTGTTACAATGCTTAAGATGCTTACTGTGTGATGCTTACCAGCAGCATAGGAAAAACGCGTAAATGCACAAATATATGCTTTTGTCGAGCTGCGGGACGCTGATAAGCCCCTTCTTACAACTGACAAAAACGCGAGTGATATAACGTAGGTGTTTTTACCGCGACACGCGTTTTTACTTCGACCACTGTCAGGCTTCGATACGCTCTTCCCGCTTCAAAAAATATCGTCCGTTGTTAACACTAAAGTCATATCTTATTAAAGATGCTTTTAAACTGCTAAATACGAAATTCCTGCTCTCCAATTAGTGCATGATTTCTGCTTCTTGCTACTAATTTCCGATCATGACACCAAAATATCACAAAAACGCCCTCCGGAACAATTCTGAAATTGCTAGTTACGCACTTTTTTACGTTCGACGGCAAATTTTCCGGGCGTGAAAGCGTACGTATATCACATGTTTTCGGCGTAACGACGTCACAATCCCCCACAATAAAAGCTGCATGAACTCCACCAATTCGTCTTGGAATGCAGAAACCTTACATTTTCCAGAGCACTTTTGAGCGACGCAACGTTCCCGATGCATCGGCCTCACATTTAACGCTTTGAGTTGACCGAAACTGGTCATTCGAAATGAACACTCCTCACGCCCACGTCTCGCGGGAGATAAAGAACGATCTCCCAACAACCAATACCGTCTCTTCTACCACCTGGCGAACGAATTTCAGCGGGACAGTTGTGTCGGTAATCACAGTTAACTTGAGCACTGACAGGACCTTCGTCCTGCCTCAATGACGAATGCGTTTCATTTTGAGCTCCTCGAATGGTCATAACAAAGCTGTTTGCATTGCGTACCTCGCATCATTTTAGAGACAACGACGAAAATGAGCAGGATGTGCGTTGCACGCGAGCGAAAGCTTCGAGCCGATTAACATTCTATGCCCAAATACCCCGCGTAACTGACCATCCGTCTTGCGCAACACAAAACAACTCCGCAAATTACTTTCTGGCGGCTTGTAATCGTCAGAAATACAACCTTGAGACGATTGTCAAGAACTAAGATAAGAAGAGAATGACAGTGAGGATTACACAAAGTGCTTAACATATATCATTTCACAAATATGCTGGGGCTTTGAATGTTTTGGATACATGGAAAACATCTGACCTTCACGATTATAAAATAGTATCCAGTGGCCAAATCGGGTACGAGAACCCAGTTTGTGTGTACTTTGAGGGTGGATTTCAGCCGTATTATCCCGCTTAGCCCCTCCTCCTCCCCTTCCTCCACACCTATTTTACGATAATACGCACCTGGCTCAGGCTATATGGAACTAAGGCTGCATGCTGCACATCACGCTTACAACACGCAGCCATCAACTATCATTCTAAGCTGGAAGACCTGCAGATACCATGCAGATGAATAGCTTTACACACCACAGAGAGCAGGATGATGCTCAATGACTAACTTTCAGCGTTGGCGAACCGGATGGCAAGCATCTCGGGCTTGGGCTCTTCATCAGAGAAGTCGCAGGCGACGCTCCACACCCAGGCTCTGTCGCTGCCGCAGTTGGGCATCAGGGTGATGTCCTGCGTCACTGGAACCCACACCAGCCAGCGTGAACCGCGCGCTGTCACCGCCACCGTTGAGCAGCGGCGTGCTATCTCGCACCGCAGGACCAGCCGCCTGGCGGGCACGGCACCGGCCAGCGCACCGCACCAATCCCAGCAGCGTCCGTCGATCAGTCTCGCAGTTGCTCAGCCAGCAGCATCGCCAGCTGCCGGTGTCGACAGCACATCCGCGTACCCGCATACGCCGGCTTTCGTTATGCGAATGCCAAACTGCATTTAAGCATCACATCATTTACAGCCAGCTTAACGTGTCCTACGTGGACATCTTGCATTGCGGAAGCATCGTGGAAGCATGTTACTAACCTGTGTTTCATGGCTAGCCACTACACATGTTTCAGCCGAAACGAAACTGACCAAATATGGGTGCAACCATGTTCCGACGTGTATGGTGATGCAACGAAGCCATGCGTCTTTTAAGGTTTGGGCCACACCGAACAGCCCACGACCTATTCTCGTCCGGTCACGCTTCGCGGGGAGGCGCCAGTGATAGTTATGCTCTGCTGGAACCACCGTGCCCTTCCAGTGACCTCGGGCGGAACATGGCAGGTGACCCGACGGCCTGCCCCGCGCATACACAGCGGCAACTTCCAGTTTTGGGCGGAAACTGAAATTACAACTACAACCACAACCAGCCGATAGTCTCTTCTGGTGCATTTTCGGTGGACAACACTTTATCACCTCACATCTTAACAGGACAACAAGCAGGCGCCATCTCCACCGGCTGCCTAACCGCGTTGCATGTACGTAATATAAAAGAAAATATGGCTTGATACACGTGAGGTGAAGGGCCATCAATGCCCGGTCGGGGAAGCCAGCACGGTCAGCTCGGACCAATGCTGGGTCGGGAGACCAGCAGACAGCGGAGGCTGGTAACCTAACGGACAGTCTGGAGACGCTGTTGAGAGCGCTCGCCATATCGCAAGGGCGGATAATGGAGATGCTCACTGGAAGACATTGCAGGTGGTGGTCGTGTTATAAATACATCGCCTGGAGACGCTACAGTCAGTTATTCGCTGGTGGAAAACGCCACGGACTGACTTTAGAGGATGCTTAAAGAGCCACATGGCATCTGCAACGATGTCTTTTGCATCGTACTCATGCACTGTCCTGAAAAGCGCGGTTGGCACCTTTTGCCGATGACGCCACGCAGACGCAGGCAGTTGTCATATTTACTTCGACATTTAACGCGTTCACGGCGCACGTCAAGAGACGATCTGATATGAAACGCGGGCTTGGTAGGTAAGAGGAGCTCTGGTCAGCACCAATCGACGCCAGTGATCATTCCTCCCGAGTCAGCTCCAGTCCTTCGCGATGATGCATGTAACCCACACGCTCCCTCCTTCGTTTGGTTCTGTGAGTAGTCCTGCGTCGTCCCGACCACACAGTGGGGCCGGTTTGGGCATAAACATTGTACACATTCTATGAAACCTGCGGTTATCGTCACTGGAGCACTCCGGGGACACTCCAGCAGCTCAGCCCAGAGGTGGTGCCAATAAGCGAGGGTAGAAGTGCTCCGCAGATTACCCTAAATCTTAACTAACAAGCGTGTTTGCATGAAGACGGCGAGCCTCACACCCTCTCCACCCCCGCCGGCCAGCCATCAGGCGGTGGTCCTCCGTTTGCCCCAGCCCAGCCGGCCACCTGTCGCGGACGGGGCCGGCCTCCGCCCGGCTGCCGGCGCCCACTCACTGAAGTGGTTGGCGCACACCTTGAGGGTCTTGTCGCGGCGCATGAGCAGACGCGTGCTCGGCTTGGTCTTGTGGCGAAGGATCTTTACGTCGCCGGTGCCGCGCTCTTTCCACTCGGGCACCTCGCCCGACCGGTCCATGCGGAACAGCTTGGCGCGCAGCTGCAGCATCGTCTCCTCGTGCGCCTCGCACACGGGCAGCTGCACCAGCGGCAGCGAGATGATGGGGTCGAAGTGCGGGTCGTGCTGCTCCTCCTCGTCATCGTCGGGCTCGCCGCCGGCGCCGGCCGCGTCTGGGCCGCTGCTCGCGGCCGCCACGCTGGCCGACTCCGGCCCCGGCTCCGGCTCCGGCTTCGGCTCCGGCTCCGGCTCCGGCTGCGTGGCGTGGAGACGCGAGCAGTGAGATCACGTCCTGCGCGGGCAGCAGCGTGGCAACGGCAGCAGAGCAGTGGGCGTCGTCAGGCAAATGTAGGATACGTGCGAGCCCGGTCTGCAACCTTGGTCAGTGATGTAGCCACTGTCGCGTCAGTCAAGCTCAGCGATGACTCATTTCAATGCATGGTGAATTTGGGTGTTCTGAAATATGAAAGATAAAAATTAAATGGAAACAATGCTTTCTCTGTATTCTGATACAGCAATATAGTCATATTACCAATGTAAAAATTGTTCTGATGACATTGCCAGACCTGGAAAACCCAGGCCCTAGTAGGTGAATCATGCATGCATCATGCATCATGTCAATGGAAATCCTTAGATATGCTAGGTAAACATCATTTATGAAATGCACTTGCCTCTTTTTCAGGCATCATGTCTTTCAGCTCTTCATATATCTTCACCTGCAACATATAGAACATGGCAGGCAACATAATTTCCATCTCCAAAACAATTCAAGATTCAACAGAGGGAAGGACATGTGGGAAATTGGAATGGCAGACATTCACCACTTTTGTGGCTCCAGCAAAAACAGTCAGACAAATTTTAACTAAGTTACATCTGGCAGAGTTCTCCATCTGGAACAGCACAAGAGTGTGTTATATTACACATAAAGCAATAGCCAAATTGAGGCAAAGGTGTCCAAGGTGGCTCATTTGTCATCCAGAAGTTTTCAAATTTATGTTTACTTGCAGTACAGACTCTCACTGTGGATGCACTATGAACTTTTTCTCTTTGGCCCAAAATTGCTCATGAGATATCTGTTCAATGCTGAATTGAGCCTCTTATGTACATGATCACTGCCTCACATAAAACAAGATGCCCCTCTTGTAGATCACCAGACTTACCACACATCTCATTTGTACTAATTATTTGTCTATATACCCCTAACAGTCTGACCTCCTTGCCCAGGGGCAACAGATGTCTTCACAAGATGGGGCCAACATACATTTTTGGTCTTTTATTCCCAGTCAATGGCCTATCTCATTACTAAACAGATGTCTTCACAAGATGGGGCCAACAGACATTTTTGGTCTTTTATTCCCAGTAAATGGCCCATCTCATTACTAACATGGTCCTTTGTGTCAATCTAGTCATCCCATCAATGGTTAATATTTAACTTTCAGAAAATAACGGCCCTTCTCTCTGGACCCTGTTTTTTAGTCCTATAAGCCACCTGGTTTGCCAGGGCAGGGGTACTCATATGTGGGGTTGACAGCCATCCAGCATGAGGCTGTTTGGCTAACCCTGCATAAGGAAAGGGGCAGTAGGCAGCAAGCCCTGGGCTGGGATGATTTCATGACTTCAGCTCTTGGCTGTCCAGTTGCCAAAATTAGTGTGGCCACCATGCCATGTAAGTGAGAACATTGGTGCATATCATACTAAAAGCTCAAAATTGTCTGATTCACCATGCAAATGCAATGAAATCTTCATGGAAATTTTATAATTATGCGGATGTTAAAAATTTAAATGTTTCTTTGGTATGAATAGGGCAATAATCATCCCATTTATACACTAGTTGTACCAAGGGCACTCAGTGTAGGCCATAACCAGTCACTGTTTCTTCCTAAGTTTTGTTATTTATTACACAATAAATTTGACATGACACCAACAAACATGCAACAGGTCATCATGGTTATGCAGCAAATTTTGGACCTCACAAACGCAGCAACGACCCTTATATCAAACATGAATGCCAGCCTATCTACTCAAACTAAGAAAAGTTACTATTAAACTCAGCCTGCAGGGTGACACTGGACCCTTCGGACCTGGTTATTTCATCACCCTTGCTGCCTTCAGCACCATTACTTTCCGCGCATCCTTTAACGCTTGTCAGAAGCACATTTCTTCCATACAAACCCCCTCCAGACTGTTCCATTTCTTCCCTGACATAGTCACACTCCAGAAAATACGCAATTTCCCGCTATTCACCTAGCGAACCCCACGCGCTTCCTCACCCATACTCAAAGCGTTCAACGCTTTACGAACAAATGATTTCAAGCGCCGCACGAGAGGGAGGAATGTATTCTGCATCAGTTGTGAATTTTTTAAACTTTTCATCACGTAACTAGCATTTTTGAAATAAACCAGTATTATGTTTATTGTTAATAATTTTTTTGAGAAACTTTTGAGAACATTTGAAACACAATATTGTAAATAAACGTACTTGTTTTGTATTAAATAAATCTTGTCACTAGGCTCGTTTAAAAAGGATGCTAACTCTAGCATCAATTAAACATATCTCAATTTTCGTGACAGAGGTCGTGTGCACGCGTGTGGGGGAGCCTTGGTAACTGCGTGCGTTTATGTTTCGGTTGACTGCATGGATAGTTGAGAGTTCAATGAATGAACCATCACCGGGCACTTTTAATTGGCTCATGTGACAGGTGTGCCAGCCATAACTGAAACTCGTATTCAGGTAGGGAGGTACGGGGATATGTCCCATTCCCAATTGCCATGGGGACATCTTTGTGAGTGAGGACTCCTGCGTATTTTTTTCCGCCGAGGATAGAGCAATTCTTACAGATCAACTTAGTAAGGTTTTATGCATTCAATGTGAACACAAATATTATAGAAGTGTGGCTGCTGGGTGGTGTAACTGGTGCGCCCTATGGATGAAGAAAGTATCTTACTGACCTTAGCAGTTATGATGACTGTTTTGGCTTTTCCTTTGGGAGAGAGACAAAACAGGACACTCTAGGAGTGTTTTTTAGTGTGTGTATTGAGCCATCAGGTTCAAGAATAAAATATAGAGGGTGGTATGAGCCTCACAAAGTTCCAAGAGCTGCACAGGTTTCCTTTGTGGCATCTGTTCTGTAATGGGCTAAGTATTTGGTGTGATCAAAACATAGCCTCTTGTGTCAGCAGATGAGTTGGATAATTTAATTACATATTTGTTATATACTGAACTGAGGATTATTGAATAAATGATCCTGCTGAAGCATGCTTGTCAGTGGTAATTAATGCCTTAAAGATGTTTTGATTCCAGGATGACTGTAATGGATGACAGTGATGATGTTCTGCCTGATGCCCAGTCTGCAAAAGTTTTCTATGGGAAGTATGAACCAAAAGAAGTGCTTGGCAGGTAAGAGATACTGGGTCCTAAACCTGACCTTGCAACATGAATTGCATACACCACTAACAGATATTGTCATGTTTGATATGATTCTTGATTTGTTAACACCAATATAAACCTGTTTGCTGGAAATGAAATAAGGTTCCAATTAAGTGATCACAAAGTGTGTGGTATATTACATGTGCTCCAGTGTAGGTATATATTGGTACCTCATGTTAAGAAGAGTATTGTATATCATTTGTTGTATTTAAGGCAGAATATATAGTAAATAGTCATAAAACAGGTGGATTCATGCTCTTACCTTCAAATTGTAATAAATTACAATAGTAAGTTCCCAAGCGCCACACACACTCAACAACTTTGATCCCCCAGCACCATTGTTACATTGTTGGTGCGTGGTCACCACATCACTGCTTACCAAGAACCATAAAAATGTACTGGGCCAAGGTAACAATGATAATGCAATGTGCTATGTTTCTTATTGCATGTAGGTAAGTTTAAGAAACATACAGGCCAGAATAGACCAGAACCTAACCTAATCTAACATCAGAACCTAACCTTTGTCCGTCCCGGTAGCTCAGTTGGTTAGAGCGCCTACCTTTGGATGCACCCACCCGTGGCGGGTGGGTTGGGTCGCTTTAGGGCGCTCGCTATTTGCCCTTGACAGGTATGGCCTGCGGCCAGTGGCAGCGGTCATGCTAAAGGTCAGTTGAGATCAGAGGGCAGGACGGACCTTGCCGAGCATTGCAGCACGTTAAGAAGCTTTCGGTACCAAATTCTGTCATTGACATGGAATTGCGCGATCGGATGGTGGGGGTCAGGGCTCACACAACAAGCACTGCTTAGCGTGAGCTCTGATCCCGGAAATCCATCCATTCAAAGCGTTCAGATCAAATCTTTTAATCTTTTTAAAAAATATAACCTAGCCTAACCTAACCTGACCTAACCTAACCTAACTGCCCAACCTAACTGCCCTAACCTAGCCTAAACTAACCTATCCTAACCTAACCTAGCCTAACCTAACCTAACCTAACCTAACCCCCTGCCCTGTCCCCTTCAACCCAGTGTCCCATTGGCATCCATGTTCCATGCCATATATATGTACTCTGGTAAGGAATTTTGTTTAGCTGCCATGTTCTCATTTTGCTTTTCATTCCCCACCCAAAGACATCATATTTGTCGACCTGCATGTATGTTGACCAATCTCCAAACAGTGTGGAAGGCTGCTTGGATAAGCAAGAAAGACATAAGTTTTAAGGTAAGAGTTTAGATGACCTGATTTATGGTTATTTACAATATGTTCTGCCTTAAAAATGACGATTGATGTACAATGCTCTTTTAATCTCTACAATGCTTCTTTTAACATAAGGTGCTAATTTATGCCATGACCTGTACTCCTGTTTTCATGTCCAGTAGATCATGAGTAAGTTTGAGGGTACATGCTTGTGAGCATGTGTAAGAATTTCAATGGGAGAAAAGTCATTGCATTTTCTGACAAGTGCAGCAAAAGATGTAATGAAAACTAGAATTGGTCATGTGGTAGGGCTTGAATGACTGCTTTGTGGTCATGATAATGCATTCGTCACATTTATCCTGTGAGCTCTTGCAATGCTGATTGTGTTCTTGATGATGCATTGATTGACTACATTTTGTGTATGAATTGATGTGTGTAGTCTGATGATATGTGATGTATAGGCTGATCTTTTAGTGCAATGTGTGGACTAAAAGTTGTGGAGCCTGTGTAAGTGAGAGGAGGTTAAAAGTTATAAAGTTTTATACACTCTCAAGACTGGCACTTTTACTGCACCAGCGTTGATTCAATCGTGTTCAGCATCAATATTTCAGAACAAAATACTGTTAAAAAGTTTCTTCCCACAGCCCTTTACATTTCTGTTTTTGTTGTTAGCCTTAAATTTGGCATGCCAGCTGTGCCTGTATCAGGCAAGGCTTTATGGTGGTCTGTGTTGAGTGAGAGCTGGACAGATGTACCTGGTGGCTGCACCACATGCTGACCTGTGCATTCGGGACTCCAGGGGTGTGAGCTCGACTGTGCGACGCTGCGTGGACAAGGAGTCAGGAGTCGAGTATGCCGTGAAGATCATTGATATCAGCGAAGCCGACCATGGCTCTGACATTAAAGAGTCAACACACCGGGAGATTGAAGTTCTGCGCATGGTACAGGGCCACCCCTATGTCAGTGAGTATTGTAACCGATCCGGTCCTGTGGCTGCCGCGGAGCCTGGGACACACCATATTCTGCACTGTCCGTTTGGTCTTGTTTGATGTGTGGTGATTCCGGCTGTTTGACTCGCTCACTTAATCCTGTCACAATGCTAGACCTATGGAGTGGTCCTGTTCGACCACCTCTAGATTGGGGTTTGCTGCCTATTGGGGTTTGCTGCCTAT